GAAGTTTACTTTTCTTTGCTACCATTCCCAATTTGCAAACCCGTGAATTGCACTCCACTTCCTCTCTTCTACATCTTTTTTATTTCATTTACTCAAATACAATGGAATAACGTTGTGCGTAAAGCATGAACATTATTAATGCAAATGTTGCATTGTCCTAACCACAACGTAGCTTTAATTGAACTCCTATCCTCCTATTAACCTTCCTAATCCTATCTGCCCTTATTGGTCAATATAGGTTGTAACATAAGTGAGTTATGATTCTCGAGAATGAGAAATTAGTCATGGTTTGAGTAGGCTTGGAATTGGAAGAAAGGGGACAATAATGTTACGGTCACTCGCTATCTTTGATACGCGGGTTTTTGTTGGTTGGGTATGTTTCATATTTTACATGTTGATGATAGTTCTAATTGTTGGGATCAGTCAACTGGAGTTCCGCTCTCAGGTAAGTGAGGGTTCAGAGGGCAACGCCTCCAGACTCGTAGAGACTAATTAGTGGACTTTTGTTTTATTGTAATTTTCTTAGCAGCTTGGACTTGTACTCATGAATAATTGTTGTTAGGATTTTCTAATTTTATTTATATATTTTTTGTAAATCGAGTGACTTGTAACGAGTGACAGTGAAGTGAATATAGTACAGACAAGCTGGATGTAACCTAAATTGGGTGAATCAGGATAAATCGCTGTATCTATTCTCTTTCTCTTTCTTTTTCTTTTCTATTTTTGATTTGTTTGTTGTCCGATTTCTAATACTTTTTACCATCTATTTAATGTTTTTCAATTATTTAACGAAAACATACAAGTCAAATGCACAAGTAGAGCGTAAGTATTTAACTCACATGACTTGTGCAAAAATTTAAAAGCTTCTGTCACACTCTACAAGATACACATATGAGGTGTGTGGGCAACTGGAATGCTTAATGTCAAGATACACGTATTGTATTGCATTAAATTTTGTACAAATTGCTTATAAAAATGTTGCGCAATTCAAATACACATATTCTCTATACGAGTTTTACTTATATTATATTATTGAATAGTTTAGCAGGAGAGTTAAACTGGTGAGGTGATATGTTTGTGTATTAAAAAAAAAAAAGCCTTAATTCACTTGTTAACTTGTGATATGTTTGTTAACAAGTATTCTTATTTTAAAGTTAATGGGGCACACTAACCCCAACAACTATAGAGTAGACTATGATTGTGCAATTCTAATCAGGTGTCCGAGAGAGAGAGAGAGTGGCAATTGGCAAATGAGTAATGACACATGTCCGAGAGTGAGGAACAAAGGAACCAAAACAATAAAAGGATGGCATGGGCTGGTTGGGATGTGTATGTTTGGTGTCATCACATATCATCTCATCTCATCCGCTGATTCCAAAGCTACCACCGCCAAGGAAACACCGACTTTGCAATGATTTTTGCATTTAATTTTATTTCTTTAGCATTGCTGTCATGGGTGGTATTTTTCCTTTTTGCCTTTTCCCATTTGATAATTTATAATTTGACTTGCTAGTAGGGGAGGAGGGACCATGTCTATTTCTATCTTCTCAAGATGTAATCGATATGGATGACCACTTCTATTCTATCTCCAAGGACCACCCCCCACATGGTCCCCTATCCACATACTTTTCTTTCTTTGTTTTCCTAGGAAAATGGATTATATTCTTTGCCTTCCCAATGTGTATATTTTAACCAAAAATTAATAACTGAAGTGATTTTTTTATGATAAATAAGTATCTCATGTTGGCATAAGATAATTATCTCATGCAACATAAATAAAGTTGTGAGGTTTATTATTTTATTTTTTTTGAGAAAATAGTGGATTCCACTATCTTGTCTCTGTTGCATGAGATAATTATCTGATGCAACATGATATTAATAAATCTCTTTCTTTATATATTTATTTTGTGAACTTCCTTATTTTACATTATAAGATTAACGTGGAATATAAATTTAGAATTCTTATAATGACATATAGCAACTCATTTTATATGGTAATTTAATTTACGAGAAAAGTGTGTGTCATTTTAAAAGATGTAAAGTTATAGGAAAAAATATTTCTACAATTAATGCAGATAAGTTATCTGCATTTATTCACAAAACGACATCGTTTTAGAATTGAAATCTTAAAAAATTATAAATATAAAGACTATTATAACCCTAAAATAAATTAAAATTACAAAAACACCATGATTTCTGTCCCAAAACGACGTCGTATTGGGTTTACTGCAGATAACTTATCTGTATTAACTGCACAAAAAATGAACCCAAAGTTATATCATTTTAAATGAAAGAAAGTGGATAAAAAAATAAATAATAAAGGTGTAGATCATACATCTTTATGAAGATGAAATGACATAAATCATGTCATTTAAACAAATAAATATTTTTCCCTTTAAATTTATATATGCTAGGGAATAAGTGATGCTTTGCTTCATGCAATAAATGCAATGAGTTTTTTTTTTAATATAATTCACTAAAGAGACGTTTTATTTTTATTTTAAGCGTCTAACCCTACACTATTTTACAGTGTTTATACTTAATATAAGATCGACATGCGCATCTTGACGCTCCCCACTCGACCAAAATGGTACGTCTGAACATGTGATCCCTTTCAAACACATAAATCTTATATATTTGGGTATATATAATATCCATTTAATAAAAATTAATGACATTTTAATACTTTACTAACTTAATTTTTTAAAATTGTGTACACCATATTTACTTTAAAAGTTACCACTTGAATCAAGTGGTAAGCATCTTAGATACCTAAACAACTAAGACCTCTATATCTCAATACGTATTTAATCCTCTTTAAAATGAAAAAAAAATATAAAAATTTTTACCGTTACTTTTTGGTTTTCGTTTTCTTCCTCTTCTATTTTTTTTTTTTTTGTGTAGAATTTTCTTTTTCTTCCTATAACTAATAAGATTTGATACTTAGTTATCTATTTATTTGTAAAGAGGGTTTATTTAAGTGGATGTATTAATGTGGGTATGATTTTTTGAACCCAAGAAGAAAGGCCCAAAATAAGGAAGGCATCTGTCCAATTGGGAACAGGCATTTGTATTATGAGAGGCTCCTGAATAATTATTTGTTTAAAAATTCCCTCCACGACCCATTCGAAATGGGTTGGACAAGACAATTAATTAATTGTGACATAACATCACCTAGGACCCACTGATGTTATTCCGTCACTTGATTTCACTAATAAGAGTTAAATCAGGCTCATTTCCTTCGACTTATTTGGTTGGATTCCTCTCATGAAATTATTCCAAATCATATACATACATATGACCAATATATCAATGCGGTGCGGTGGGCTATTTATTTTAACTTTTTGAATTTTAATTTTAAAGTCAATATTTATAAAAGTTTTTCCAAAATTCTTAAAATAGGAATGTCATCCTATATTGCACCGATACCAACACACGTAGAGTTGGCAAAAACGAGCCAACCTGTCGGGTTGGCTCATAACCCACAAAAAATGAGCCGGGTTGGGTTGGCAAAAATGAGCTGTCAACCCGAGCCAACCCAGCTCGTTTCAATCCGTGAAAAAATGAGCCAACCCGCGGGACAAATGAGCCAGCTCGCGGGTTGAGTTTTTTTTTTATATATAAAAATACAAAATATAATATACAAAAATGGACAAAACCCACACATGTTGCCATCATTTTTCTTCCTTCTCTAAACTTAAGTCCCTAATCTTCTCACATCCCTGCCATTTTTATATTCTTAGGCTGTGCTGGCTCTGTTTGGTTCAAATATCTTACCCACTTGGTAGCAAGTGGTTCTGATTGTTTCTGGATATTGATGCAAATTTGTTGTGAAGAAAATTCGACACTAAAATATTTTGCTTTTATTTCTTATTTTGTAACCCTTTGTTTAAGCTAATGGAAGCCACATAGCTGATGCATTAATACTACAGGGTTCATTTAAATAGGCTAAAAACGAGCCAACCCGCGAGCCAATTTTCGAGCCAACCCACGAACCAATTTTCAAGCCAACCCACGAGCTATATTTTTTAGTCAACCCGCGAGCCAACCCTAACCCGACTCGGGTCGGGTTGGGTTGGATTTTCTGGCTTTTTTTTTTCAAGTCAACCCTAACCCAACTCATTTTTTTCGAGTTGAATGCGAGTTGGGTCGGGTCGGGCCAGGTTGGCCCGTTTTGCCAACCCTAAACACACGACACGAGATACGACATGATACAACACAACACTCCGACATACTAATTTTAAAAAATATTAAATTTTGATACGTTAGGACACGTTTTGATATTAAATAATGGAAAAATATTTTCTCATGTTGCATGAAAATTCAATTATCATATTGTGACCCTTCAATTTGCATGCAAAGCTTTGCTTTTCTTTTTCATTTTTAAATAAATGTGGGGCACACAAAATTCAATTCTTATGCAACACGAGAAAATCAAACCCCTAAATAATATTTTTAATTTATATAATGAATATTATATTTAATATTTAATAATTGAACAAAAAATAAAATTAAACTTATAATACTCATCAATTTTGCAAAAAAATATAAGATTTTTCAAATATTTATATTATACTCAATAAAATGATAATCATAATCCAACGAATCTGATAGTTAAAACTAAAACGTAACGCAAACTTTGAATATTTTTTTTAAGTGTCAGTGCATCATAAATGTCATCACTGCAAAAAACATATTTAGTGAGAGATTTGAATAGATTGTATTAAGTTATGCAGTTATCGTTAAACTAGTTCAAAGATGTTTCTTAATCAACAACTGAAAAAAAAAACAGTAGTGGTTAGTTTTTCCCGGCATTTCCCCCCTTAGCCTTCAATATAAAATACTAAACTAAATATTCTGTATTAGAAATCACTTTATTTTCAATGAAGTTGATCAAAATTAAACTCATGCAATTATTAAATGCATATAGAGTTAGCATGAAGCCATACGTCGTAAATAGAAACAATAAACAAAACACAACTTCCAGATTCAAAAAATAGAAAAAAGAAAACACATCTCCCAAGAATACATTAATCACCACATATAACAGCCATAAAAGCAAAATGCTCTAGGCTCAAAAAATAATCCAAAATACATCCGGATAGAGAACTGATCCCTACTCTTCAGGTGAAATATTTCAGCCAGATGAGATGCCATAAAATGAGTTAAATTTAACTTATTCCTGACGAGAGTAAACTGAGAAAAGTCACTTTTCATAGTGAGTACATCCAATCAATTTTTTCCTACAACAATTAACCACGATGGATGACTCAATCCGGACACTTATTCTGTTGCTTCCACCTGTTGGGAAGTTTCATTTTGTTTCAGTTTTTCCAAGGAAGAAATTCGACTGTCTAGTGACTCGTAGAGACCATTCATCTGGAAAAAACAAAGAAAGTTCAGTCATCAATTCAAGCAGCACACGGGTTGTAAAAATTACAATTCCAATTTTCAAACACAATCCACTCATTCCCTCCCATGCAAGAAAAGGAAGGAGGGAGGAGATGGATGCTGATATGCAAGAAAGCTTATAGCAAATAATTGGTAAGGATTAGACATACTTCAGGGTTTAGACAGAGTGATGCAAGCCTAATTCATAGGAAAAGCGAAAAAGCTTCATTTTGTAGATCAAATGGCATATTTAGGGCCTGTATGATTGTGTTTTGGTTTTTTTGTTTTTAAAACTGTTTTATAGAATAATTATGAAAACAGTTGTTTTCTATGTTTTTTTTTTTTTTGAAAGTTAAAAACCAAAACAGAAAACAAAAACAACTCAGACATGTTCTCTAAATTTGATTCTAAAAACAAAAAAATAGTTGCAGTTTTTAAAACTTTTTTTACAAAACAAGCCTTACTAAACGAGTTTTTTTGTTCTGAAAACTAAAAAACTGTTTTTAAAAACAGTAATCAATCATAGCCTTAATATTTATTTGACATTGGGCCATGCAATGGAACAACCACCCTTGAATCTAAAATACTTTTCGTAGCACTGGACTTTACATCATGTTTACAAATCAATTCCCTATACATGCCTACCTCAGAGCTACAGTCATGCACAATTTTCAGAAGTTATTTCTTTCATTTTCCTCACAGTAATGTGATTAAGTAAATATTGAATTTCTAAATCAACAACTAGTTGTGAACCATCAACCATGAATGCCACATAAGAGATAAGAAAAGAAAAAAAAGATTATTAACAAAGTGTGAAGAATGTACCATCTCCAAATAGGATGGAAGTGAACAATTTGGTTCAGCTCAATGATTCAAATAGAAAAAGGGCAAACCCTAGTGCACAAGGCTCCCAAACTCAATGATTCAAATAGAGAAATCCCACAAATTTGACAGCAAAACTTATTTTGCTCTAATATGCACAATTAGAAGAAACCAGCAGCACGGAGAACTATTCTTTCGCCTTTTACTAAAGAAGAAACCAGCGGCATTTTCTTAATTTGACAATGAACATATTCACAGTTTAAACCACGGGAGAGAAAAGACCTCATTCATTAGCAGACAAAAATAAGTTATTGTGCTAGCCTGCAGCTCCCATTGCATCCCTCATTCAAGTAAAACTTCTACTTGTCTCTTGACGACATCAACTGATGCATTCCATTAGACACTTACACCCAAGAATATAACAAAATGATATAGCCATATAGGGATTATTTAATTAGATTCATCCTCTATTTAAAGCCCCTTAGAAGCACCTATCAAGAAAACTTATTCTGTTCTATCTGTCAAATAAACAAGACTAAGCCACTGAAAATAATAACAGTTTACTATAATCCAAGAAGGTAAGACAGAAAAACTCAGGATCCAAATAAAGGAAATAAAATAAATCTGCTAGAGAACATGACGAGGTAATGCAGAAAATAAAACAAGAACAAATGATTTGTTCACAGATTTGGGACGAGGTATTGCAGAATATTATGAGACCATAATAATATTTTAAAAAGGCAAGGGAGAAACAGGCCAAGGTCGAGAGCAAAATATATACGACAAATCTGGCAAAAGCAAGATCAATCTTAAACATAATGCAAAAACTAAAGGCAAGCTCCCAAAAAAGAAGCACATAACAAAAGTATGTTGTGATTGTATTCTATCAAATATTGATTCAAAATAGCTGCTGTTAACAGGTAAGACTTAGGTCATTGAATCTAAATAATTTGGATATCTGCCACTCATTCTGCATAATGGAAAGTAAATATCAACACTATATCATGATTAGCCTCTCAATTATCCAAATTCAATATGTCCATTAAGAATATAATAATAATAAAAAAAAACTATAATCATTGCATAAGACATTAACATTAACAGAGCCACAGAAACAAGGGAGCAGATTGATGAAGCAAATAAAAGGTCCGAACAATTGCAACATTCTTATATGTATTCTTTACATTTGCAGACCAATTATCATCATATCAGCTTTATTCCTCTTTCTAACCAAAATCCATAAAGGTAATAATCTAATTACATCCCACCAGTTCTTTCAATTAAAAATGACATGATCAGCAAAGAGAAAAGAAAAATTAAAAATTAAAAAACAACATAAATCTTGTAGAATAATATTCGGAAATACCCACACAAAAAAAGATAAAAATAAAAAACGAAAATTGAAATGGTTATTTCCGAGTACCTGTTGAGTGAAGGATTCCTGCGCAACCTTGTAATCCCTGTGAAGGATGTAGAGACCCGCAAACGACGCCGTTGCAGCCCCAGTGAAGAACGACGCCAATCTCACTCTCAGTACGTACCCCATTTTCCCCTTCTCTCTCTCTCTCTCTCTCTCTCTCTCTCTCAATTGCAGAGTAACATGTAAATTAAGAACCTCTCTCTCTCTCTCTCTTACTCTGCTGCTAAAACGACGCCTCTAAACTGCACCGCGGAAGTCGCGTGTTCCTACACTCGCTCAATGTTTTCAGCGACGTCGTTTCTTAGTCATCTCTATCGTTGGCTATTCTTTATTAAACTTGATAGTATTGGCCATCCTTCCTAGTAACAGTAAAATAACTTTCGGATTCTGAAATTTTCATTTATTTAAGTTTTAATTTTTTCAATAAAATCAGTACTTTAACTAATACAAGTTTTAAACAAATCATAAGAATAAAATAAATATTAATATCTCAATCGATGAAAATTGAAAAAAAAATAGTAAAAAAACATAAAAACTAATAGGTAATAATATAAGGTAAAGGATTTATTCAGTAAATGGAGATAAGTTATATTCGATGAATCTAAAATAACGTTATTTTGGGACAAAAATAAAGATATTTTTGTAATTCTAATATATTGCAGGTTATATTAGTCTTTATCATTATAATTTTTTAATCTTATAATCTTAAAACGATGTCATTTTAAGCTCATTAAAAATAATTTTATCTCCAATAACTGAAAAATATTTTTCCCATAATATAATGAGATATTTGTTTCTCGTTTCCCAAAAAAAATCCAGTTGACCCACTGAATTATGGGCCCCACATATATAGAAAAGAAAAAAAGAAAATAAAAAAAAGTAAAACAGTAAAAGTCATTGTGTATGTAGGAAGTTTTGTTTTTCAAGAAACAAATTCCCCATAATATATAGAGTTATATTTATCTCATTTAACATGAGATAAATCAAATTTCTACACACACGTAACAAAGATGGGTCCACCTCTATTTTTTTTCTCTCCAATTATTTGTAGATCTCATTTATAATTTTGTTTCAATAACATAAGATAACTATCTCCAATAACATCCTTTAATAAAAATATAAAATTGATAAATCAAATAAATTAAAGAGTAAATACCATTTTTGGTTCTCAGCAAATTTCACGATGTCCGCTTTAGTCCCTAACAAATAAAAAGGCTCATCGTGGTCCCTAAGAAATTTAAAATGGACCCATTTTAGTCTTTTTGAGGACTAATATACAGTGGCGGAGCCACACCAAAATTTTAGGTGGTGCCAAAAAATTTTGACATATTAAATTATTAAAATATTTATTATAATTACGCAAACTAATCAGGAAAAAAATTTACTATAAATTTTAACATAGTTATCTAAATTATGTATTAAATAATATCACATAACATTGAAAATTCAAATGAACAATCTCCAATATCGTTAGATCAGAATCTTAATAAGAGAAAGAAATAATAAATGTAATTGAGATTCTGATCCAATGGTATTGAAGAGTTGTAAGCAAAGATAGGCAGAAAAAATGGTAGGTAGAATAACCTATCCCAATAAGTAATGGACCAAGCATTGTCCTAAGGATATGAAAACACACAAATATAATAAATATATGCTTAATAACATTTAATAAATAATTTAAAATATAATAGAAAAATGCATATTTAAAATTGTAAACGACGCTCTTTTAAACTGACAAAATCTTCAAGGATAGAATCTCGTAATTCTTGAATAAGTTACTTTCTACTTGAAACTAATTGTATATCATTCAAAATATCTTGAGATTTTTTGCTATAATGCTTGAAAAAGAATTTCAGTGATGCTCATTATCTCTTTCATCAAAAATAAATTAAAGATAAATTTAAAGGAAGTGATCACCTTATAAGTTGCAGTAGCATCTCCTCTTTGAGAGAAATTTGAGCCTTCACTACGAATTATTTTAAGTAAGTAGCATCTTCTCTTTCAGAATAATTTGAGCCTTTGTTATGATTGCAATTGTAAGTCACAAATTAAGGCTTTGAAAGTAATTTTAATTGATGGGTTAGATAAAAAGGTTTGGGTATTGGGTTTTATTTTTCTGATTGAAAAATATAAATATAATTATATTTATTTAGGTGGTGCCAAATTACAAATTTAATCTTAGTTAATTGTAATTAATTATATATTTGTATATAACAAGTAAATTTTTTTAAAATCAAGCAGGTGCCAAGGCACCTGCTGGCATAGGAGTGGCTACACCACTGCTAATTTTTATCTGTTAGGGACTAAAGCGGATATCGTAAAACGTAAAATTCCGCAAACAACCATATTTACTCTAAATTAAAAGTTCTAAAAAAAACCAAGAGTTGCTTGTTTCAACCAAAACAAAAAAAGCAACAAGCACGACTACATTTGAACTTGTGGGGAAGGAGTAGCGTTAGGGTTTTGGCTTACATTATTTTTTTTGGTCTCGCATTGTGAAGAAGAATCGAGAAAATGTTCAACGGTGACCCTCCTTTGCCCTCTATCCCTAACCCCACCACCGAGCAGATTCAAAAGGTGACGACTTTTTTTCATGACCCATTTTTATGCTTGATTAACCATATCATATTACGTTGTTTAAGGTTCTAGATTTATCTCTCTGCCTATGTTCCTGTTGGGGTTCTATAAAAATGTCACCTTTCCCTGTTGTCTCTTTTTCTTGTCCGATTCTTGTTTAGTTAAATGGCACTAAATGTGTGTGGTGCTGACCTCTTTTTCTTTCCTTGTACCTTAAGTTATTGATTTGGCTTTCACCTTTCGTTAAACTTTCCACATTTTCTTGAATCGAATATACGTGATAACATTAACTGCATAATTTCCTTCCATGTAGAATGTCGTGCCTCTGTGAAAATTTGCTTTATCAAATTTATTTCATACTGCATATATTCCTCATTGGTAACAGAGGTGGTAAAAACTTTTGCAAAGGAATGTGGGGTAAAAATTAATAATTATATGGTTCAAAGGTCAAATGAATGGTGCATTTTTGTAAAACTTTTGGACTTTTAATTGAAACAATGGTTACTAGACTTTATGTGTCTGCTTATCTCATTTATCCTTGGTGCAGTACTTGGAGGAGAATAAGGAGCTGATCCTAACAATATTGGAAGCTCAAAACCTGGGAAAGTTCACCGAGATCGCCCAGTTAGTAGCAAAATTATTTTTTGTTGCTTATATTTGTTTCTGGGTAGTACCAGGTGGTTTCAGTTGCATTCTCTTCAAGTATCTGCCATGGGCCTCTGAAGCATTTTCTTTGTACTTCTTCATTCTCTTGCATACCATTTAGGTCTCTATGGCAGTTATCTTGGAAACCTTCTACTTTACATAAATATATCATCCTTGTTTGGCTGCTCTTCACCTAAGATTATATCTCACTTGAAAAACAAGGTCTGCCTTGGTTGTTTCTTTGATTACAGCACATATAATATGGTTACATGGATCTCAGTTAAGGTGTAAACAGGGGTTAATGCAGCCAACATTCAATTGTATAATAACTTCAGGGAATAAACTTTTATTATAGAATTGTGCAATTATGAAATTACATGTTCATGAACACGTATATGTTTCTTTCTGTTTGAACCATTCTATCTGTTGTACCTGTTCATTCATACACTGGCGCAGATATTTGCTTATCCCTGGTTAAATATATGTTAGTTTAGATGTAAAGTCGCCCAAACTGCTGCTAAAATAGAATTTATTTCTATCACAGAATAATATACTTAAACTGAGGTGCTTTGAGTAGAAGAAGCTGAGAAAATCGGAGGCAATAGAAGACGAGTGAGGATATTCTAACTACCAAAATTTCTTACTACTAGCTTACTACCCATCACATCACTATTGGATCAAAAAGAGAGAATGTTAAAAAGTTGTTGAAGAGAGAGAAAATGTTAATCTAATGGTGATTAGATAGATAGTAAGTTGGTAGTGGAAAATTTTGGTAGTGAAAATATCCCTCCTCATAAAAGACATGTCTGTCATCTGATATGGTCATAAATAATGGAAAGGCAAAGAAAAAATTAAATGACCATAACAAGTAATTTGGGCTGGATTTTCTTTCATTTTTTCGACACATATCTTAGAGTATCATATACCATAAGCTGATTTCCACGTGTTTGGAACACAATTGTGCCATCTTGTATATCAGTTGTCAATAATATTTATTGAAGTTATATCATAGATCGAAATATTATACTATGTTACATATCCCAATTTACCCCTTTCTCTTTTCATTTGATGAATGTTAGAGTCATTCTAGGGTGTTATTACATTTAAATTTGTTTGTGTTGCAAGTTTCATGTATTAACTTAACATTGTTGTTGCCTTCTCAATTGTTATCTGTGGTTTATCACTATGTTGCACCGACACCAATACGGGACACGGGATACGACACGACACTCTGACACGTAAATTCTAAAAAATGTTAAATTTTGACACGTTAGGACACGTTTTGATATTATATAATATTTTTAATTTATGTAATGTATATTATATTTAGTATTCAATTATCTAACAAAAAAATAAAGTTAAACTTATAATACCCATCATTTTTACAAAAAAACATAAGATATCTCAAATATTTATATTAAACTTAATAAAATCGTAATCGTAATCTAACGAATCTAATAGTTGGAACTCAAAATGCAACGCAACGAATCTTTGAACCTTTTTTGAGTCTTTGCAACGAATATTGGAGTGTCGGAAAGTGTCGGGAAGTGTCGGACATGACACGTCAGGATTTTTGAAGTGTCGATTATCATATTATTTATACATTAATAATAATTAAGCTAGTGCATTGGATTATGACATATTACTGGAATAACCTGATACAGATGTCAAGCCAAGCTTCAGCATAACTTGACTTTTCTTGCCAAACTGGCCGATGCTGGGCCTCAGGCACAGATACATTCTCAGGTTTTTTAGCTCATTAACTAATCCAGCCAAACCTAGTTTTGAATTGTAACTTTTCCTCTTCTATGTATAATGTAAATCTCTCATACAGGTTTATTGTGCAACAGGGGCAAGGCATGCAGCATACGCAGGTAGCAATGTCTCAGCAACAACCAAATCTTTCTACCTCAAACTTGTCTTTGGACATGATTGATCAGCATCAGCAGCACCAACAACAACATCATTTGACAATGTCTCTACAACAACCTGATCTATCTACTTCAAAGTTACCTTTTCAGATGAATGAGCAGTACCATAAGCTACCAGCTTTCTTCCAGCAAAATCAACTTATCCATGGACCAATGGTTAGCTTTCCTGGTACAAATAGTGGCATGTTTCAGGCATCGCAGACCAGACCTGGTTATCTGCCAGATATGCCAGCAAGTAACCATGGTTCAGATGTTGGTCCTGGTTGGTCTTAGGGAAGTCTTCTCGTGAAAACACCATGAATATATGTTTCAATTTTATTTATGGTCCTATTTTGTAAACAACTGCTATAACTTTTTATAACTGAAAAATTAATATAAAAACGAAATATACATTTTATTTTTATCAAATTATCTATTATTTTTTATTTTCTTTCCATTATGTTAGTGCTCTCTTTTATTGTTTTCTTATCAGTTGAAAAATACATTCGGTTCAGTGAAATATCATGAATAAATTGCACGCTCCTTTTCTAAGAGATTGATTTATATTGCACTTTAGTTTATTTAAATATGAACAAATTTCTTAATGATAGTTTTCTCTCTCTACGATTGTGATATCCGCGGCTAATTTTGAATTTTTATTATTGGCTTTAGTAAATAAAATTAAGATTTTTAGGGGAGTCTTTAAATTTGATAGTATGGGTGTTCAAAATTTATTTCATTTTTTAAAGTATAATATTTGATATAAAGTGTGCAAAATTAGCTAAGAGTAAGAGAGAAATATAAAATGGGTTCTTTCTTATCTCTTTAATTTTCTTATCTCGTACGAGTGTCACAACCTTTCTTAAGAAACTTAGACGGGTGTGTCAAGTGGCACAATTTCAGCCTTTACTTATTCCCCCTTCTCCATTCATTCATTAAAATATTTAATATTATATAAATATTTGACATATTATTAATTACGCATGCTTATGTTAGGATTAAAACAAAAGTAATTTTGTTACAGTAAAAGTAGTAATTTTATAATTTTATAATTTTTCATTAATTTTGTAATTACTATTTTTACTGTATAATAATAATTTTATGTTGATTAATATTTAAAGTTTCTTTTAAATTAATGAATTAGTGAATTGTTGTTATAAATTTTTAAGATTAATTCTTTTTTTATCCTGATATAGACATGTGTAATTAATAATATGTAGAGATTTTAGATAATGTTTAATGGTTAATGAGTAGTGTTTAATATCTTAATGAATGAACGAGGAACAAGGAATGAGTAAAAGACTGAGATTATATCATTTAGCACACTTGTGTGAGTTCCCCAAGGGAGTCGCGACACGCACCTGAAGAAAAAGAAAAAGAAAAACGTGTGAGTGTTGCAGGGGAGGGGATACCGGACTCAAACCCGTTGGGCCCCTCCTGCAGTATTAAACGAACGTAAATATCGAGAATCAAGATATATTAAAATATCAAAGATCTCCTTTTTGTCAAAGAGCCGATAAAATGTCTTGGGAGACTTATATATGGTTCACATCATAGATGAGGTTTGTCTATCTATATTAGAATATATTGAAGTGTAACACATTAATGTTTAATGAGATGAGTTTAATTTTTTAAATCATAGAGAAGGGCAATGTAATATAAGTATTTTTTATGAGAGGAGTATAATTTATCCGAATACTAATGCATATGGAATTTCTAATAAAAAATTTTGTTTTTATTTCCGTTCCGGTATTAGGCGGGGAAAAATTCAATTCTAGGGAATCATTGATTTGGAAATATTACTTTTCCTGTGATTTGGAGTGCAAAAAATAAAGTTGGTGTACAGTAAATATGTTTGAACGTAAAAAATGTGTAAAAACGTGTTAATAATGGAATGATGAAAAATCTCAATTATTCATTCTTTGCCGTTGCATGAACTTGTTATTAAAATTATAATCATTAATTTATTAATAAACAATTGAATATTTTCATATGACATCTTATTAAAACAATGTATGAAAAATCCTGTATTAAAAAAAAAATGAAAATCCATTTTCGTTAATAATACTTGGTTAGTTTTCTATCCTTTAAAACACCTTGTTTTTATGTTCTTTGGGAGAGGGAAAGAAGGGTGTAAATGTCGAGGCTATAATTTTTTAGGGTTATATGTATCTTATGTCGTAGGAAAATGGTTATCTCATGTTATAGAAATAAAATTACAAGTGGGACGCACATGTAAGAGGAGAGAGAAAAAATAGATGTGGGACCCACCTCCACTTTGTGTGTAGGAAGCTTGTTTGTCTTATGCAACATAAGATAAATATAACCCAATTTTTTATGAACACCTTCATTTTGCTAGGCTGTTAATGTATATAGCTGTATTCCTCGCTCAATTACCTAGATTGCAACCAGGATTAGGAGGTGTACAAATTCTATTGTGTCATGCTTTTCAAATGGGGGTGGGGAAAGTGAAGACTCTCCCATCCAGTGTTACAGTCGGCCGATCAAACCGGTTGATCGAAAAACTAATCCGGTTAAATCAACTGGTCATTCATGCTGATGCATGCAATTTGATTAAGAACGGATGAATAGATCATAAACTAGATTCAACCGATATTCACTTGATACTGATTTTCATACTAATTACTAAGTCAGATCACTTTGATTTCAATATTACTTTTATTTATATATTTATTATATATCTTTACATAAATTTAATTTAAACAATTTGACCAATAACTGATCCACGACCAAATCAATGACTAGTCCAAATTTAATAACATTGCTCCCATTAACATACTGGTTTGAGTATAATTATAACTTCTAAATACTTTTTCCATATTATATAATTTCTGATTTGACAATATTAATATTTTGAAAGAATCAATAACAACTACAAACAATAAGTGTAAAAGGTCAAACAGTAATGAACTAATGATGAGTCAATGATTAATTAGTCATTCCTGTTAATTTTGCATAGTCAGTGATCCTTCCTATTAATTCTTTGATTAAAAAATCATGGTATAAGTTGCTGAGGCCAATAGTCCCCGAAACGCAAATTAAATTCTAATTTAACAGTTTTACGGGGAGCAATTGACAGAGTGGACAAGATTAAACCAAAAATATAGAATCCACTACCCGAGTGCCAGGTGGTGGCTAACGCTAAACTATGCATTCGTTAAAATATGAGCAAATACTTAAAACACTAATCCATTAAATCGAAGACGATCAGAATTCAAGTGTTCAAATATCCCTGAACAGCCACCGCTAATTGAAACAATATACTCCCCGCAATACGCCACTGTGAATATCGTTTTACGGCGAATCCATCCTTGGATCTTGCCAAACGCAGAAATTGAATTACTAATCTTGAACGGGTAAATACGGGAGCTAGAAAAACTGAAAATGTTAAACTATGTTGATTAATCTTTCAAGCATTCACAAAAAAATTCGCAGTTATCAGATGCAATGTATGCATGAATATCCCAGCATGAGGCCCACATAAATGAAGCACACCAAATTGTAAAAGCAGGGAGAAATAAATTACTAAAGAAAATGGTGATAGCACCGACAATTTAAATCACAATTTGCTCAGGACACGAGATTAATACATGAATGCTTCAAATAACATTCCCCCACAAACCCGATAAACATCACCATACATGCATGTTTCCAGGATAATCTACGCCCCTCCATGTTTCCTGTCAATATAAACAATAATAGAAATTATGAAAAACATGGTAATATATAGCTTAGAGAGCATATATAGAAGTAAAATAAAATGGAACAAAACTGGCTCATGCAACCTGAACCATTTAGCATACCGCAAGCTTGCATTCTGTATTAATATTAAATTTTTGGTAATAGTAAGATTAGAAAAGTCTTGAAAATAACACAATTATTGGCCCTAGCAGAAATACATGCACGCATAATACAAGAAATCAATCTATATTTGTGTGTCAAGGGCATATTCCAATAAGTAAAAAACTAAAAACAATAAAAGGGAAGAAAAGAGAAAAAAAAAAAGGGGGGGGGGGGGGAACCTAAATTAGCTCTCCATCCGTGAGCACACAATGGCATAAATATTTAACACGTCCATGGAAATTCAAAGCATACATAAATAACATTTTCAAGTGCCAGTAAGAAGACTCACTATCTTCGAGAAGGATACCCAGCACCAGTTGATCTGTCATAAAAAAAAAAGTTATACCAATTTTCTTTTTCTAATAGAGCTATAATCTTTACAGAAAACCAAACACGACAGCATAATAACAGATTATCATTCAGAAGCTAATGTAGAGTCATACCTGGTCTGCTGTTTTGAAGCAAAGCTTGAAACTAGCCTCCCATTAGCTGAGCCTGAATTTTGGGCACTGCTCATACTTGATCTGTCAAGGCTTCCCCCATTGCCAACAGATAATTGGACAGAAGACTGGATACTTTCAGGGCCATCCATTTCTGCAGAATCCTTAGATTTATTCAAACTTTTGACATTTGAAAGACCTCCAGCAGCAGCAAAGCACACACCATTTGATTGCTGAGGCTTTATTACTGACGGTTTTAGAGGATCAGGAGATTTCTTCAAGCGATGAGATTGAGCCATTGGTGTAACTGCCACAGTGGGCATATATGAAGAATAAGGAGAAGATGCAGCAGCTGCTGCAGCAACTTTGGCAACAGCTGCAGTTGCAGCAACCATTTTTTGTGCTCCTTCACGGAGCTGAATGTAGTCACCCTCAATCAAAAATAACTGAAATTAAAGGAAGAAAAATTGTCAGGCTGTAATGAAAATTTGGTGCCTGTAAATAATATGAACTTGCACAGGCAGACAATTCAACGAAAATTGATGGACAGCCAGAAGTTCTGACAAAATAATTTGGCATGTTTCTAGTCTTGGATGGATGAGTGGTTCCTACCACTTTATTCAATCGAAGCACCATCCTTCTATTTCACTGAATTCCATTAAAATTCTAACTTACTATATCATGTTGTATAGCATCAGTCTAAATTCTATACATCCAAACTGCAACCTAGAAACTTACTTCAGGATGGCTAGCCACAAAATCATCCAGCTTTCCATACTTTCTTTTGTAATCATGCCAATGTAGCGGTGCAAGCATCTTGGCCAGTCTGTTAGGGAGCTGTGTTTGAAACATAACACAAGTAAATTACATCAGGCTAAGATAAAAAAAGTCATGTTTCTTTAAAAGCCTGAAGGTTCACGCTTAAAACTCACCGTTGAGCTAATTCGAATTCGGCCACCAGCTGGAATAGTGCGAACAATACAAGCTAATAATGACCTTTCTTCAAGGAGAGCAGTCTCTGAAGTCTTTGCAATTGTTGTTGAAGTTGTCTGCCCAGTAGAGGTGAATGCTTCAGGCAAGACTGAATCAGTAGAATTGCTTTGTACCATTTCATTATGATTAACTGAATGGCCTGTAACAGGCGATGCATTTGCAGCAGAACTCACTTGTTCGGCCAATAAAACTTGGTCCTCAGGTCCATCATTAGATATTGTCACAGAATTCTGCTCCTACAGAAGGAAAACTGTTAGCTTTCATCTTTTGGCTGTAACAGGCAACCAGACCAAAGCCAATTTTTGGCTTGTTTCATCTAAGTGTTTTCCATCACTCAGTACCCTTCTTTTATACAAGGTTAAATGCTTGGTAAATTCCTCGAAAGCCGCTACTCTAAAGAAAAAAGCTCCTCTAAAGTGATTTTGTCTTCATAGTAAATAAGGTGTGATCACATTTGAATTTTAGTAGGTTAAAATGAAGATTCACTTCAAATTAAATCATGGGAGAATATATTCATAGTAAATAAGGTGTGTACGCATTTGAATTTTAGTAAGTTAAAATGAAGATTCACTTCAAATTAAATCATGGGAGAATATACACTTCCTTGCTCACTTTAGATACAAGCTCACTTTAGAGGAGCCTCATCCTCTTAAAAAACAAGTTATGGTGCTTTCAGAACATGCTTTTAGAAGCATGAAGGAGATGCATTTAAAAGCTACCATGTACATTTTAGTTAGTGCGTGCACCCAAAATATCTAGATATCTTCACATAATTAAAATGAAACACAAATTGCCATAACTTCAATCAGAAGTTTTGAGAAGCAGCATTTGACAAAAGTAAACAATTATTACAAACTTAGCCTATCAAACTAAGTAATCTTGTAGGATAGGCCAAACAAAATAAAAGATCAAACAGGCAAGGAAAGTTGTAAAAAAAAAAAACCTTAATTTCACCATTCGGTTCAAAAGAGTTCAGTCTTAATGCATCAGAGAACTGTGAAGAAATTTGCTGTAAGCTTTGATCTTGTTGGGAAGCAACAAGTTGCCCTTTCTCAACTGACTGAATAACCTTAATAAAATTCAACAAATTATCACTAGTATTTTTCACAAATATTAAGGGAAGTAATTATAAAAGTGAATAACAGAATCAATAATTATAAAACCTGTGTATCCCCTGTGGATGATGAAATCACATTCTGTGGCTCCTCGCCTTGGTGGATGTGAGCATCCAAATAGTCTCTATGAAGAGTTTGTCCATTAACAGACATTTCATAATTAAATTTAGCATCTGATCTCATCAAATTGGGATCACTTTGGGACGATGAAGGATCATCTTGTATGGAGACCTGTGAACCTTCTGAGACAGCCTGAAGAAACAAGTATAAATCTCACACTGCATATCACCAAAAGTTTAAAAAAGATGCAGACAGCTTAAATATTGGCATCTTTTGACACCTGTTGATTCTGCCACTGCTGCAGAGGAGACATTGTGGGCACTGGGTGAAAATGTCCAACATGTGATTGAGGAACATGCGATGCAACTGCATTGGGCACTCCTTGTTGATGCATAACAAAAGGATGCAATGCAGTTACTTGGCCAGGTGGGAGGTATGAAGGAGTGACAAGTAGAGACGATGGAGCAATAGGGACACCAGGAACATGATCAGTCTAGAAATAACCAGTGTTAACATATATTTTTGTCCAATCCAGTGTAAAAATATGTCTATCACATCATACAACAAATTAAAAGGAATACATTTAAGAAAACAGGAACCACCTGATAATCTGGAAAAATGTTGAATGCCATTCATAAAAACAGAGTAGTCACTGGTTCTATAAAATTCCCTTCCTCATTAAAAATGAGGCATACAATACGAACAGCCAGATTCATACTAAAAGAACAGATAAGACATCATAACTTTCAAGCATTGTGCATATTTAATTCAGCATTGTGAATATCCAATGTTAGCATATGGATGTCCTAGAGACAATCTTTTGATTAGATTAGGACATATGTAGACCTTTTATATTGTCGCAAAAAAAAGCATTATTTATCCTGTTTCATATTTTGTCTCAATATTACTATTAATATTTATTTGAGTAACTGGATAAACCCCTTGGAATAAAATAGGTATCTCTTGAGTATCTGTGATGAGATCACGATCATGAGGATTCAAGGATACTGCATGTTTATTCCTAATTTTATGTTCCTAGTCTAGAGACACTAAGAATGAGGATCAGTGATCTCGGGTAAGACTAGCACGACTTATCTACTTGTATTTGGATGCAAGGTAAAGACCTCATGAGCTACAGATATGGAGATGTCTTAGCTAAAGTCGTGGGTGGACCTATAAGGGTATAGCTCGCACTGAACAAACCCACAAAGAGACTCTACGAGGAACTCTCACAGAGAGTATCATTAGAGTAGTCTCTTTATATTTGGGTATGTCTTTCCTAAGACCAGAAGTTATTACCTAGACTGTGTTCTAGAAGGCATGCTTTTATTGTGCACCTCGTCTGCCTGAAACATGAAGACTCATAGGTATACTGTTGGGCTTGTCCTGAAAGAACACAGGGCTAGGGTGATAAGCTGAAGGAATTCGTCAAATCTCTGTGAGAGATTAGGTTATCTGTAAACCGGAGAAATCGGGATGACATTTACAGGGACTCGGGAATCTATGCATAGTAAAAGAGATCATGAGATGATCTGCCTTTAGAGTCTGTAAATTGAAGATTCCCTATTTCGAATAAAGCTTACCCTAAACCGCAGGGGTTGATACGCTTCCTTACCCTAGGTTTTATGGGAAGGTAACCGAGACGAAAGGAAATATATACGGCAACCAAATATGTGTAATAGGATGATCAAGTCATTAATCTAACTAGTTCTGGGGCAACAAAGCATTGCTAGTGCTCTGTGTTGTCATTAGATGAGTTGTGGGCTTATTGGGCCCAAGCCCATTTAGGTCAGTGGCTATGTTGGACCTAATGGGTCACACACTAACACCTAATTGTCTAGATGCTCTAGCATTAAAGGTATTGGGCCTAACAATTGTTATTAGCCCAAGAAGTAGTTTGGAACTCCACAGATAGGGTGGAGGTCGCGCATGGATCAAAGTAATGGGCTTGGATAATCCAAGACATTACTAATTAATTTAATTAGTTAAATTAATTATCAAATGTTTAAAATTTGAATTTTGAATTTGAAATTTGAATTTTGAAATTTAAAATTTGAATTTTGAAATTTGAATTTTGAAATTTGAAATTTAAAATTTGAAATTGAATTTGAATTTAAAATTTAAGTGTTTGAAAGTTTAAATTCAAATGTTTGAAATTCGAATTTGAATTGGCTATGAAAAGTTGTTTCATAACAAAAGGATAAGATGAGATCTTGTTGGAACATATCAGGAGGAGATCTTTTAGACATAATCCAAGGATAATGGGGTGCTGATTTTGGCTAGATTTGATCATCACAATCAGCTCCAGAAGATACGGTCTGTTGGGAGAATATTTGAGTGAGTTGATTTAAGTTTGAAATGCAACTAACTCAAATGTATCTGGTCACCTTTTAGGCTATATGGGGCGCACCATATAGCTGATTATATGATGGTTCATGATCAGATTTCTGACTAGGTTTTGAACTTAGTCTCATGAGAATATTCTGGGATGTTGTTGGCAATTTTTGAAATGCAACAACTACACTTATTCTCTCCCCATAGGGCGCCACTTTGATCAGATTTTTGGGAGAAAAATCTGATTTGTTTTTGAAACTTAAAAGGCTCCTCTTGTGTGCTTAAGTAGCAGTTAGTTCCTCCTTAGGTTTTTGTGAAAAAGGCCAAGCCTTTCTCTATTCATCTATGCGCCCCTTGTGAGGTTTTCTCTTAGAACACTTCACTCTTCTAAACACTTTTACCTAGCCTCCTGCATCACACACTGAGCGCATAGCAAGCCTTATTGTGGTGATCAATCGGCGGCCTTACTGGAAGGAGTTCCTGTATCTAGACGCGGGTGGTGTGGATCAACGTTAGAGGGTCTGAACCCTTCAGACCTACCTTGATCATCTTGAGTTTTCACGAACAAGGTATGACATACGTCTTAAAGTATGTATCTTGATATGCATGTGTGTTCCGCTTGCGAAAAATTTTGTTTTTCCCTCACGCATGTTTCGGCCTTCAAGGCCAATTCTACTTTCAAGTGGTATCAGAGCCCGGTTATTTTACCATAGACGGGTGATGGTACCTTGTTTGTGAACCTGTTTCTCACGGTTAAAATTTCTTTAAAGAGTTAAAGATTCAATTTTTATGTATGGATTTTAATTTACAATACTTTAAACGGTTAAAGTTTTGTTTTTGTTATTTTATGAACATCTTAATTTGATTGTTGTGTTCATATATCCATATGTATTCATGGTTATCATTCTTTTCTTTATGAAAGTTTTAAAAGGAAACACCTTTTTGAAAGGTGGAGTTCGACCATGAAAGATGTTTTGAACACCTTGATTGTTTTCTTATTTTTCATGAATTGTTTCATGAGCAAAGCATGTAATAAAATTTTTTGAAAATTAATCTCATATACATTAGTATATGGTTCGGCCATTAAGGTGTTTGTGGCTACATGCATGGTTTAAATTTTATGTTCTTTGAGAAAGAGTCAATAAAATTTGAGTTATATTAATGGTTGTATATAATTCGGCCAATTGAGAAATCTAAGAAAATTTTAATTTTTGTTTTGATGTTTAATTGTTAAATATCAAGACATATGTGAAAAACATATTATGTGATAATATTTTGTACTTGTGAGTTGTCTAACATTTCAGGTGCAAAAAGGAAGGGGATGGTCATGGTGCCCGAAATTTAAATTTCGAATTTTAAAATTAATGTGTAATTTTTGCTCTTTAAATTAGAGTTGTAATTTGATTTTTAAATTTTGTCCCTCCAAAATGTTTTGGAGTTTCTTTAATTGTAATTAGAGAATTTAGGCTAGTGGCGTATAGACGACAAGAAGCCGTGGCTTGAGAAGCAAAATGGACAAAAGATCGAGCACCATGACTATCTCAAAATAAATTGTTTTATTTGCATGTATGTTTTGTACGACTAGCATGCATGAGATAGTGCATCACGATATGTATGCTTTATTGCTTATGACGTCTAGTATGCATGAATTGGACAAATCGCGTTTGTATGATTATTATGCACGTCCAATTTCGACTAGTCTAAACCAATAGACGTATGAAATAGGTTACGACTAGCATGATAATATATTAATGTGTTTGATGAGACCTAATAAAATCCCTAAATAAAAGGAACCCTAAAAAGGAATAAATTATTAAGCATATGATTACCTCCCACCACCAATATTGCTCGAACCTCCTCTACATAGTGGTGCTCCACAACTCAGTTGGGACCCAGTGTTTCGTTGAGTAAGAGTAGTATTAGAAGTGTTAGACACTTAGGGTGCTGGTTAATGCTTAACTGAGGCATAAGTTGCAGGCCCAGCCGGGCTTATGGGCTTTGGGTAATAATGCTAGGTTGGTTGCATGAGATGCACCACTAAGTGACAAGGAGTTGTCAACCTAATGTTAAGAGAGGGTATGAGATACTGTTGATTAGGATCAACCCATTATTTAAATTAATCTTGCGGTCTCAGACGAGGGTTAAAATAAATAATCGCACTCTTAATCTCACTAAGATAAAATCTAAAAGTAGATTAACCCTAAGTCAAATGGTAAGGGTCATTGACTTAGATAAAATAGTGGGAGGGGCAATTTATTTAAAGTCTTTAATAAATTGTAACACGACAATATATTAATTAATCTTTCTTTACATTTTTTTCAGTTTTTAGTATGACTAATCCACTGTCATTGCGTTCAATACTTGATACGAATAAACTGACCGGTTCAAACTTTATGGACTGGTATCGGAACCTGAGAATTGTTCTTAGGGCCGAAAAGATTGCCTACGTTCTTGATGGTGCATTACCCGTAGCTCCTAGGGAAAGGGAAGATGGGTTCGCGGAATATGATTTCGAGGCCCACAAACAACACATGGATGACGATACGATGGCAGTATGCATCATGTTGGCATCCATGTCACCTGAACTACAAAAGCAGCATGAGCATATGGATGCTCCCTCTATTGTCTTACATCTCAAGGAGTTGTATGACGTTAAAGGCAGGCATGAGAGGTATAAGGCCTCTAGAGAACTGTTCTCTTGCAGGATGTCTGAGAACATGTCTGTTAGAAGTCATGTTCTTAAGATAATCAGGCTGATTGAGAAGCTAGGAAATCTAGGCTTCTTGATGGATGCCGAACTGAGTAATGAGTTAGTCATGGCCTCACTTCCACCTTCCTTCAGTCAATTCATAATGAATTATAACATGCATGGGATGCTTGTTAGCTTGCCTGAATTGTTAAGTATGTTAACAACTGCTGAAGTGTCTATCAAGAAGGATAGGACACAAGCTCTTCTGATTGGTGGGCCTAGCAAGGCCAAGGGTAAGGGTAAGGGTAAGGAGCCTGCTAAAGGTGACTCCCTTAAGCCCAAAGGAAAATCCAAGAAGAAGAAGGGCAACAAGAAGGGTAAGAAAGCCTCCAAGGACAAAGGCGATGCTGAGTGCTTCCATTGTGGCAAGAAAGGCCATTGGAAGAGGAATTATCCAGACTACTTGAAG